AGAGGAAATAGATATTAACAGCAATTTCATGCTTAATTAAAATTTGCTACACAGAGAATCTAAGATTTAAAGTGGTGAAACAAAATAATCCACGTATTTTCATTTTAAGGCCGTTTTTCCAATTGCAGATTGATACTTTTCTTATGTTGTATTATATGGCTACTAGCCCATTAACCTAAAATGAAAAGTGGATTTTTCTTAATTGGAACCGTAATGTCAACTGACTAAACTATAGAGTTCTTTGTCCATTTATTGTTGTCTTTCAACTTTGGTGGCTTTTTTGTCTTGTAAATGTCTGTTGTTTTATCTAAATTGAGGAAAGCAAGGTGAAAAATTGAAGTCTTGATCTGGATTTAGATTTTGAATTAGTTTTTTTTCTCAGCATTGTTTGATCTGCTTTAGAGAAACTGCAATCATAATTGGTTGCTTTGTAGCATGGTTTCTGTCAGCACCTACCTTTGTCCTTTCTCATCTGAAAGGAATGATTATAAGGATGAACCATGTCATTCTCATGCACAATGGTTAACCCATCAGAGTTCCTTATTTCCTTGCAACTTCTCTACTGAAAATTGGATTTGGTTGTTCTCCTCTTTCCTGACTGTTTCAGTTGCAAGTTACAACATTGTGATCTGACTGTTTTTAATGGGCAGATGGGAGTGTTGAGCCTCATAAATGGACCATCATTTATAGGATTTCAATTGGTATAGCGAGAGGATTGGAACATCTTCACACAGGATTGCTAAAGCCAGTAGTCCATGGAAATCTCAAGTCCAAGAACATACTTTTGGATCGCAATTACCAGCCTTACATCTCCGACTTCGGACTGCATCTCCTCTTGAATCTGACCACTGGCCAAGAAATGCTTGAAGCTTTGGCAGCTCAGGGCTACAAAGCTCCTGAGCTTATCAAAATGAGGGATGCAAGTGAAAAGACTGACATATACAGCCTTGGCATAATCTTGCTTGAACTACTTTCTGGAAAGGAACCAGTGAATGAGAAGCCAACTGCTGATGAGGATTTTTATCTACCAAATTTCATGCGGAATGCAGTTCTTGATCATAGAATTGCAGAGCTGTGCCACCCTGACATACTTCCAAGAAACAGCAGAGAAAGGGGAAATCCAGTCACTGAAGAAGTCATTCTCAAATTCTTTCAGCTCGCCATGGCTTGTTGCTCCCCTTCACCTTCTCTTAGACCTGATATCAGACAAGTACTCCAGAAGCTTGAAGAAATTGAGAGATAGCTACTTATCCATTTGGCAGAAAAATGTGCCAGAGTATTGGTAGGTCACTGCTTTATTGATTTCAGGAGAAGTTTCTGAAGTTAAGGCTTGTGAATCATTGTTCTCATCTCCTGAAAATAGTGATGACTATGATGATGTTGACGGTAAGGGCAAAGCAAATTGGGTATTCTTTTCTAAAAAAAATGTATGAATATTGGCTACAGAACAAATGGCTCTACAATTGGTGAGGCTGACATTTACAGAGAAAGTTTCATCTCAGGGAATTTGCTTGAAGTAAAAAGTTTCAATACTTCTTCAGCCAAGCAACTGGATGTAGAATTGGTGATTGGTTTTGTCTGATTCTGGGATTTTCTTCTTGCTGAAGTACTAATATGACAAGATATTTGGAGGCATGTAAATCCAAACAAGGACCATGTATTGACAGAAAAAATGTTTCTCCTTGTCTCCAACACTTGAAGCTATGATGATCTTTTTGAGTACATAACTGCTTCAACTACCATGCAGAATATTTTGGCTCTTTGGATTGAAACCAAGAAAAGATGTGATTTTTCAAATCAGGTTAGCCTCTAACCTCTCCAAGAATGATATTGTAATCAAATATTTAATTCCTTATTTCGTTCTTTCTTCATTCTTTGGCTCATTCCTTGTACAATAACAGCATTATCATTGTAATTTGTTGGCTAGGAGATTTATTCCCTTCTAAGATCTTGTAGCCAATTGTTAAAACTTAAATGTATATTTGTCCAGATATATAGCTGATTTATTGAATCAAATGTTTTGTCGTGTGTTTGTGTGTGTGCTCAAGCATTTGAGTCCAGTTGTTATTTCCCTTAAAATCATTTCATATATTTAGCTGGCATTGTGGTTTTCATGTACAGGGTGTTGGTAGGTTCTGTTTTAATTTGATAGTGAAAGTTGAATCTCTGGTTGAGTTGTGGTGGCCTGGTGGTGACTAACCATTTCCCGGACAACTGCAACTACATATTTTACACTGTCACTTTTGGTCAGGCTCATTCTGCACTCATCAAATATGGTGGTCCCCTGCTTATTCTTTATTTCTATTATAGACAAACACTAAACCTTAGCATATTATTTTTCCATGGCAAAATAATTTGGGGTATATGATGCTTCACTCCGTTGCAGCTTAGGGTTGTGAAACAAAACACCCTTGCAAAGGTTTGTGGGCAGATCTAATCCCTATAACAATGGCATCAATCTCTGCCATTTTCCCTTCTAGCTTTTCAAATTGTGAACAGCATGATGGATTATTCAACAGAATGATTTTCCCCCGATCTTGAGTTGCTGCATCATCTGCACTTGAACTAAAAATCCGTCTTGTGAATCATCTAGGGGGACAGTCAGGCAATTTGAGCATCAGATTTTTGTTTAGAGGTGTCACAATTAAATATTGGGATGCACATTGTTTGAAAAATGGAAGAGTTATCTTCTCTTATATAGCCTATAATGTGACTAAGAAGTTCTTGTGTATGAGAAAAAATGATACCATATCAATTAAGTAATGTTTTTCATGTCTATGTATTGCAATTGAAGAACATTAAGAACAGCATCAAGTGGATTCTTTTACTGTTCACACAAGGTTTTGAAACAAATAAATTCATACAGTGGAGAAGTTTTCAATGTATTCATAAGCTACTCTATATGTTAAACAGCCAATAATGTCGGTGCAACCCGGAGCAAAATCATGGAGGATTCTAAAAGCTTGATCCTTGAAAACGTAAGAGATGGCCTTTCCAGGTATGTGCAACACTGCGAAGGAACCTTCCTCATTTTCTGTGTGAATCACTGCAAGTATTTGAAATGCACAGTAATCCATGTCTAAAGGGTCAAAAGAGCTCCCAATCATTTCTGGAAATGCTGATATAACATTGTTCAGATCGATTCTATACTTGATAAACCACCTGGAATAATCTCTTTCCATCTCATAAACATCCAGCTCCCTGGAATGGTATGAGGAATCACCCAAGATGAGCTGTAGGTGATTCTGGGATGCACCGAAGAACCTGCACTGGATCTGTCCATCCCAGTCTTCAGGAATCTCAAGGGCAGGCATATGTCGGAATCTTTCCTGGTCAAGATCAAAACAGAGGAATCTCCCCCTTCCGCTCATCCAATGGATGGCACCATGACAGAAAACACCATTATAGGGTTTAACATCCGAGTCAAAAGGCTCACCAAAGAGCCTCCAACGGCAGGTGTCAGACGAGTATATCTCCAGTTGGTAAGACTGCGGCCCGGAGTCAGAACTCCGGACAAGAACAACCCTGTAATGGACTGATTTTGAGGGATCAAAAGCCAAATGAATACCAAAAACAGCACTAAATGCACTAGTAGCCCTGGGAAGTACAGTGTATTGATTGGTTGTCGGATTGTATACGTAGTAGCATCGTTCTCCAACAAGGTAGTTGCTGCGGCAAAGCAACAAACCATTGCAGGACTGTAAAATCATGATGCCTGCAGGATCATCTACGAAATTGAGAGACCTAAATGGACCACGAGAAGGCTTTCCATCTAGTGGAAGAAAGTGAAACTCAGGGCTGCCTAGATGGGAAGTCAAGGGCAAAATAAGAGCAGATGGGTAAGCTGGGATCTGATTAAGGCGGCGAGAGAAGTAGGAGCTAGAAATGATAGAATACCAGTGTTTTGACACGCACTTAAATCTCAACAGGGACCTTACCGGAACATGAACAAGGATCTGTATGAGCATATCATCATGGCCGCCAATCGTTTCTGCTGATGGAATTGCCATGGAAGTAGGAACTTCAGCACCCTTCTCCTTGATAATTTTGTTGTGGTGTTGCAGGAATTGGATGAAGCGTGGAAAACGCTCGCAATATTTGGAAAGGAGGAACAAGAGAAATTTGAAAGGTAGCTTCCGTCCTGTATTTGGCAATTCAAGAATTGCTGGGAAAATTCCAGGGAAGGCTCTTGTTTGGCTCGAGAGCTTTTGACTAAACAACCAAGTCGTTAAGATGGGTAGGTTCCAAGTTTGGATTAATGTTCAGCGTGTCAGTTTCGCCGAAAGTTGTACATTACAGAGTATAAAACTGCAAAGAATGGTTGTCCTCTTGCAATTAATAATTTTTCCAAGTATGGAAGAAGTAAAGTCTCATAAAAAGGAGGTTAAATGTTAAATTTAGTCCCTCAACTTTATGAAATGTATATTTTTAGTCAATTTAATAATTTTTTGTATTTTTTTATCCTTTAATTCTAAAAATTGCATAATTTTGGTCCTTCTGTCAGTTAAGTATGATATGACAGTTAAATAATTTCATGTGACATTATTTTTTAATTTTTTTAATGATGTGGCAATAATATATAATTATAATTATATTATATAAATAAATAAAAATACTACATAGATTAATATGTATATTTTAATTAAAAATAAATAAAATTACCTTATTACCCTCACCCTCCTAATGCCTTTTCTTCCCCTTCTTTCTTTCTCTTTCTTTCTTTCTTTCCTGCCCTGGGATAGGCTAGGTTTCGTTGAACCCAGCTGTTGGGTTCAGTGGAAACCCAGCCTTGCTGGGTTCGTCGAAACCCAACAGTTGGGTTCATGTTTTTTCATTCTTCTTCCGATTTTTATTCCCAGTTGTTAACAAATTTGTAGGTTGATTTACAATTTGATTGCATTTTTGTTGGAATTTGATTAAAATTTGATTGTATTTTTGTTGGAATTCGATTAGAGTTTGAATAATATTATTTATTGAAGGGTTAATTTGATTTAATAAGATCTGCCAGGTTTGAGGTTTCAATGAAACCTAGTAGCTCAAGTTCCCTGAGAAAAGAGAAGAAGAAGAAGAAATGGGTTAAGATTCATTTTGTAGATGGAGTAGAAATGAGAGAGCATTCACAGAAGAAGAAGAAATGGGTTAAGATTGATCTTGTAGATGGAGTGGAGATGAGATAACATTCAAAGAATAAGAAGAAATGGGTTAAGATCGATTTTGCAGAGAGTAAAGATGAGAGACCAGTTTGCAAGCAACGTGGGAGGGGCTTTGGCTTGAAGAAGATGACATGTCATAAAAAAAAAAAGTTCAGATCAACACCTTTTTAAGTTGTACTCACCATGTCATAAAAAAAAATATAAAAAATGCCATGTGATCGAGTTAACGACTCAAATTGACAGAATGATTAACGGAGTGCATTTTGTATAGTTAATGGATCAAAAAAGTGAAAAAAATTGTTGGAGGGCCAAAAATGTGCAACTCACTAAAGTTGAGGGACCAAATTTAGAATTTAACCTAAAAAGAAAGTTGTGGATAAACGCTGTTGACTTTTCGGCGCCTCTGAAGACTGCTAAGGTTGCTCTCAATCAAAGTGAAATTTCTTGTGCATTACTCTACATTTCTTGGACTCGGTCAAACTCATGATCCAGTTGCTTTCACTTTAGTCAAGGTTCGAAAATTATATTAAAATTATAACAGCCAAAGAAGTGGATACAAAGCCTAGCTGCTACAAATATCCATTGTTTACCTCCACTGCATCAGTTTGCTGAAAGCTACCATTAGCTGAGAAATCCAAGATGAATACATCCGTGGAGTTAGAAGCAGAAGTGATACTTCATGCATAAAACTCAGACTACTCTTCATTGTTTCTGCCTTATCTTCTTCTCACTATGCAGGTAGATATCAGTCTCAAAATGTAATATGAAAGGATATATATATATATATATATAGTAGAGACATAGTTAAAACTACAATCAAGAATACAGGGACCGAAAACCATTGGATCATCTAGTTAGTTAGAAAGAAGCCAATCAATGGTCAAAACTTGAGGGGGTGAGGCTTCGGCACACAAAAAATTACATTTGAAAAGAATCATCCAATTTCAGATAGAAATTGTTCATCTCAATGCGTCAGCAAAAAGAAGCGAAGTTGGTGATGTTAGTGACAAAATAACTGATGGTATGAACCCAAAATGAACAATAAATAATCAACAAAAGTACATAACAACCATCATGAAGGCATGAGAAAAAAGCCAGGTTACCAAAAGCCATGTCAAAACCTTCTCTCTTTTGGAGAATACTGCCCCAGTAAGTTACTTGAGAAAAACAGAGGTGTTAACTATAAGAAATGAGAAAGAACTTTGAGGATATTTTCAATTAAGATGCGAGTACTGGGTTAAAAAATAATGGTACATAAAGGAAATTGGGCAAGTGGAAGAAGAAGCCTAAACTAATGCCTAGTAGATCTTGCAGAAAAACCTGAGAAACCCAAAATCATCAAGCGTGAAGTTAAAAAAAAAAAAAATGAAAAAATGAAAAAGAGAGAGAGACACAGCACAAGATACTCTCTACCATGTATGTAGACATCAAACTCAAAATAAGATATGCATGGATAAGAGAGAGATGTATAGCTAGCCTACAATCATGTCCTTCTCTACTATGCATGTAGACATCGCTAGACTTTCGCTAACCGAATCCGTCTTGAAGAATATATCATTACGGTACGTTTCCATGAGAGAAAATTTTTTTTCTTAGATATTAATTAGATAGTAAATTTTATTGTAAATTTTCCTGTTTGTGAATGCTTCACTTTCACCTTTACATTCATTTTCTTTCATGTTGTAATTCTTTACTATTAAAAGATTATTCATGATCTCACTAAATGTTTATTAAAGTATTATTTATTGTCTCATATAATTTTATATAACTCCTACATATCCCTTATTTTATATATAAACCTATAAATTTGTATAATTTGTATACGAAAAAGTACAATAAAATAAGAAATTCTCATTTTTATTTGTTGTATTTACATATCTTTCTTTAAAAATTTTTATTTAGTTAAAATTGTATTAGGGTGTATTGTATCCCAAGAACAGTTGGATGGATGAGGCACAGTATTGGAAACCTCCCAAAACTACTCTATCTTTTTAGCAATTTTTTTTCATTAATATCTTTCCAAATCACATAGGACTAATTGCTAAAATGCTATAAATAACTCGACACCATAAAGCTGAAGAGTGGTTTATAAGAAGAAATTGCTCTCTGTCCATCGTGGAAACCGTTAGGGGGAAGGTGAATGGTATGGTCTTCTCTAAGGCGGATTCAGTTTGCTGAAGTTCAACCCAAAGCCAAAACCAACCTCGCAAGCCATGGTTTGTTACTAATTTTTACCCAATTTTTCTTTCGCCATGGTCCATATTTAGCTGAGCCTGAGATTATTGTTCCATTTCTGAAATAGGGGTTGGGATGCTGATGAAAATCCAACCATTCCTTTTAGAAAGTGAGGATTTATTACCTGTTTACTTATTGATTTGTATGTAAACACGATGAAGTGCTAGATTACTGCTTCCAATGCAAATTTTCTTACTGCAAACATGATTTGTAATTGTTGAGTTGGTGCAGGGAGTCAGGATCTCGTATGCTTCAGGAATGGGCAGATCAGACTGGCAGGATTATGGAATTGGTCGAGAACTACACATTGTGAGTAGAGTCACGATGAAGTCCAGTATTTGTGAGTAGAGTTCGCCAAAGTTCCCAAGAATCAAAGAAAATAATTTTAAAAAAAATTAACATAAAATTCATGTACCAAACAAAAACCCAAGCATGGAAAAAATAAAACTAATAAAAAATTTTCAAAGATAAAATTGGAGGATTTAAATAACTTCAAATCGAAAGTAGGATGAACGTGGAGGAGAGGAGGTCTCCAAGCGACGGCGGAGGTATGTGTTTATAGGATGATTTCCAATAAACGACGCGATGAGAATAGGTTGATTATGAGTTAATAGTAATTAATTATTATTTTTTATTTTTAAACAATGAAAAATTTTTTCAAAAAAAAAAAAAAAAGAAACCTGAGATTAAAACCCAAATCTTAGTAATTCTAATTACGTTCAACAGGGAGGAGCAAGTAAGCTCCCAAGTGCTGGACAGTAACTAATTAATATTTGATGTGGCTGGTCCAAGTCCAATACATGAAAGTCCAAGATTAAAGAAAATTGTAGACCTAGCCCTTTTAACTAAGTCCTAAATCTAATTGGTTTTGTTTAATATATTAAGAGAATAATAAATATTTTTTTAATAAATTTAAAGAGAAAAATATTTATCAACAATAAGGAAGTTCGTATGGCTTCGCCTTGTGTCCCACTGGGTTTCAATACTAACCTAGTTGGGTAATTTGTGGTTTTTAATTGGGCTTTCAAAATGGTCTTACCCATAATTCAAATCCATGGCCCGTTGTTTAGGGGTATATATATTGGCTAAATAATTGATTAATAAACAATTAATAATTGAGAAATGATTGAGACATGATATTTT